GAGACGCCTCTTTGTAGAAGTAACTCTCTCTTGTATATAACACGTCACATAGTCACTGCATGTTTTTCTACTTCTTCAGGGGAAATACATCGTGTGCTTTGATCCTTTGGACGGCTCCTCCAACATCGACTGTCTCGTCTCCATTGGCACCATCTTTGCCATTTACAAAAAGGTACTAGCACAGGGTTAAGAGCTTATGATGAAACTGGTTTGTTCTTGATTTAAAAACTTAAAGTGTTGGCAAACTGTTTGTATTGGATTTTACAGCTGCATCACTTGTAGATGGGACTAAACTGATTTTAATGCAAACGCTCCACTGATGTCGAATCAGGCAACAGAATCAATAATGACACGACTGATGCCGTTTCCCTCAGACCACAGATGATGAGCCCTGTGAGAAGGACGCTCTGCAGCCCGGCAGGAACCTCGTGGCAGCGGGCTACGCCCTCTACGGCAGCGCCACCATGGTAGTGCTCTCCACCGGCCAGGGAGTCAACTGCTTCATGCTCGACCCGGTTAGCGCTCTTTTGAAGGTTTCGCGTGTTCCACATAGAAATGCTGCAAACTGATTTTATCTACAAACATGTTTTTGTTGCTACTGCTTTTTGCTCTTTAGGCGATCGGGGAGTTCATACTGGTCGAGCGGGATGTGACGATGAAGAAACGAGGGAAGATTTACAGCTTGAATGAAGGTTATGCAAAGTACTTTGACCCTGCTGTCACAGAGTACCTGCAGAACAAGAAGTTCCCTCAGGTAACGCAGGTGTCCAGACATGTTTGTCTCCAGGGGGAAATTTATACATTCCAGCAGTATCCACAAACATGCTGGATATACAATAAACACTAAATACTAATAATGCACACTGATGTATTTTACTGTAGACCTCGTCACTAAACACGTTGTTTTTGACGCCCCTGTAGGACGGCAGTGAGCCCTATGGCTCCCGCTACATTGGCTCTATGGTGGCAGATGTGCACAGAACGCTGATGTATGGAGGGATCTTTTTATACCCAGGAAATACGAAAAGCCCCAAGGGAAAGGTAAGGTCCTGCAGCTGTATGTAAAAGATGGATGCAGTGTAGGCGTCCGTGACATCAGTGCTGTAGCACCTTAAAAAAAACTTGGAAAACGTGTAAAAACTTGAGTTCCTCGATTGGCCCCTCAAGGCTGGGATCAAAATCAGCTCAGTTCCCACAGATGATTACAAATGATTACAAGCAGAACTAATGTCTACAGTGTTTTTGTGCAGGTACATAGATGGTTAGGGGTCGATAGTTTAATAGTTTAATTATTTATATAGCACATTTAATTACAACAGGAGCGTTGACCAAAGTGCTGTACAAGAATACAACATACATAATAAAACAACTTAGAGTATTAAAAGCAAACACCAAATATGAATTAACAAATAACAAATAACTCTCATGCTGTATTAAAAGCCAGTAAATAAAAATGCGTTTTAAGATGAGATTTAAAAAGATTGACAGTAGGAGCCTGTCTGATGTGTAGGGGTAAATTATTCCACAGCTTAGGCGCTACGACTGCAAATGCTCGATCACCTCTATGAACCAGCCTCGACCTTGGTACGGCTAAAAGCAAAAGATCACTTGATCTAAGAGATCTAAGGGGGGTATAAGTCTGCAAGAGGTCAGACAAATCCCCGGGAGCCTGTCCATTCAGGGCTTTGTAGGTCAACAATAGAATTTTAAAATTAATTCTGAAGCTAGTTTGTCACTCAGCTGCAGGTAGAATATAGGTTTTTAAACTCACCCACTCTGGTAAAGTTTAAAGTCCAGTTAGCTGAGCGACAGGTTTGCTGTCCGCCTTCACAGATTTGAAGTGTTGGTGCTGTCGGTGCTTTTTGGAGCATTTCTATTTGGATTATCTGACAGAAACTTTGACCTGCTGTGAGTTACAGATCATTCCACAGCATGTCTTCCTTCTCTCACACCAACCAATCACAGCAGATGGCCCCGCCCCTCCCTGAGCCTGGTTCTGCTGGAGGTTTCTTCCTGTTAAAAGGGAGTTTTTCCTTCCCACTGTCGCCAAAGTGCTGCTCATAGGGGGTCATATGATTGTTGGGTTTCTTTCTGTGTGTATGATTGTAGGGTCGACCTTACAATATAAAGCACCTTGAGGCGACTGTTGAATTTGGCGCTGTATAAATAAAACTGAATAGAATTGAATTCCAGTAGTTTGTGCTTCGGTTACGTTGGTTTAAACTCTGCACTAACTGGCAGGTATTATTTATGGCTGATGAAATCAGCTTGCTCACTTTGACATTCTGGTTCCTGGTTCTGAAAAGTGAAGCCGGTACAGCCAGAGGTCTGCAGGAAAATGCCCCCCTGACCTGAGCTGGCCGCTAGTTTGACTCATACTGAAGAAAAACCATTTAGTAAACTTTGGTCATTCAGGAGGATTAAGCAGCTCCTCTGCAACGGTTCCTAAAACCAAAAAACACATCTGACAGTTTAAATGTGATATATATATATGAAATTACACTAAAAGGCCTGTTTATGAACTATTGTAGCAGACTGTCGATTACATTTAAAGCACAAAAAGAAGATCTTTACATGAACAGGACGAATGATCTCTTCTAGAAAGTCCTGGTCCATCAAACCATCTATCTGATTTTTTTCCTTCAAGCACTAAAATGCTGAACGAGCCTGTGAGTTTTCCAGACTTTCTCATGAGCACTTACACCTTCCCTCCCCTCTCGCTCAAAGCTGCGCCTGCTGTACGAATGCAACCCCATGGCCTTCATCATGGAGCAGGCGGGCGGCATGGCCTCCACGGGCTTCGAGAACATCCTGGACATCCAGCCTGAGAGCATCCACCAAAGAGCTCCTGCTGCTATGGGCTCCAGCGAGGACGTGCTGGAGTACATCGCCATCTGCCAGAAACACGCCAAGAAGTGAGACCGCACGGGACTCACACAGCGGTCCTCCTGTTGGGATGCACGTTACCGCCTCTGTAATGATGGTTTTTATGTAAAAATGGGTTTTAAAGACCAAAAATGTGAAGAGATTTGGAGGCACGGTGTTTTCATGCCACGTTAGCGCTCCCATTTTTAAGAGGTGCTTCATAAGTTCACATACTGCTAAACAAAAGCTACCAAAGACCAAAAATGTGCCAAAACACACAAACGCACTTCAGTCTGAGACCTTTGCTCCTCAGTTTACCTCCAGTTGTGCCTTAAATCAAAGAGACATTCCAGATGTGCAAAAGACCAAAAACAGCCTCTTTGCAACCAAACGTGATTCTTTTATTATGTGAAATAACAGCTGTTTGGAACAATGAAGTCTCTCAATAAATGATAAGAACGAGTGAGTGTTTGATCATTTCAGACGTGTGTCATCTTCTCACAGTTATTCAGTTTGTGTCCCTCGATAATATCTTGAAATCTTCAAGTTAGAGGCTAAAGTTCAAAGATACTTATTTCAGTGGAGTCGACCTTTAAGCCGGGGTCAGCTGAAGCTCAGAGAGCCGACTGACATTTAAAGCTCACTTGAGCTGCTGTTGTGCTAAAACGCGGCTGCAGAATGGAATCTGTGTCCCCGAGCCTGTAACACAAAGACACACAACATCAAACTGAAACAAACACTTCAGCTTCTTTTTGTAGCAGCTGAAGTGTCTTAAACCTTAACCTCGAAGTCGGCCGTGATTATTTTTGACTGTAAACCTGGATGCATGTTTAGAATCTGCTGCAGACCTGCTGTCAGGTTCATGTGAGGTTAAACGTCCCAAAGAGCTGCCACGTCACCCCAGCCTCGGGCGCCTGTTGTCAAACAGCCTGTAAACCTGTTGCCTAAATGAATTAAAGAGCTGATAAAAGTGTTGTGCAGGATTAAAGCGTGTCTGCAGCTGACACCCGACACCACCTACACACCCGCTCTTCCACTCGGCTGCGCTCACAAATAGATCAGCTCAGCTTCACAGTTCTGGGCACGTAAAGGACGAGGCTCATAATGAGGAGGCTCAGTCGTAGCTTGCTGCCCAGCAGGAAGGACAGAAGAACCAGGATCCGGCATGTCGGACCAGTCGGCGTTTGAGACGGACGTATGGACCCTGACCCGGTTTGTCATCGAGACGGGGCGCCAGGCTAAAGGGGCGACGGGTGAGCTGACCCAGCTCATCAACGCCATGCTGACGGCCATCAAAGCAATTTCATCTGCTGTGCGTAAGGCAGGCTTGGCCCACCTGTGAGTATCACCTACGTACAGGGACAGTTCAGCATGCGGGGACAAAGCTGTGCGTGAACTTTGCTGTTGGAGGTCGGCCTCCGTCACAGAGCTGGTGGAGCGACTGGCTGTTTGTGTTCAGTGTAGGAGCTGTCACAGATAAATCTCCTCTGATTTCAACACTGCACAATAAGAATGAACGGAGGCTTTGTGCTGGATAAAGGTCGCACCGCTGCAGTCAAAGCAGCACACACAGCTTTGTGTGGTTTCAACACTCTAATCGTGACTTTAATAAAAGATGGTGCAGTGAAAGGACGGAGCTGTGCGCATTGTTAAAATGCTTTAAGGGCAGGGGTGTCAAACACGCGGCTCCGGGGCCAAAACAAGCCCATCTGAGGGTCCGAGTTGGTCCGCTTCACGACCTAAGTGTGAACAGAGCAGCGATATTAAGATCTGGACAAATGGCTCAAATCATAAAAGCATAAAATGATTTAGTGTGAAGTCACAGATCTGCTGGTCCGACCGACTGGAAACATTTACCACGTTTAATTAAACAAAGCTCGTTTTTCTGAAGACATGTCATCATCATTTTTCATTGGATATCTTATTAAAAAGTGTCCATGTATGTCATATTGTGCAGGAGTGTCAGTGGTGCAGCCCGCCTCAGGTCAACGTGGGGTCGCAGGCGTGACCCTGACAGCCCGCTTTCCAGTTTAGTGTGTCTGGTTTGTTTAAAGCTGCAGGCGGAGCTCGTGAGGATCCCAAAGCACCGCCTGCTGACATCGTGCCCGCCCGTGAAGAAAGCATCATCATCAGAGAGCTTACATAACCAATCACAGCTCAGCTTTGTTGGCAGTGAATGGAGTTCGCCTCACACGTGATCTCCAGTTGAAGAAACCACTGTGGGGGGAAAAAGCAATAATGACGAATTTTTCTGTGACTAACTGAATTTCTCTGCTCAGCCGGATGTGAGCAGGTTTGCTCTCAGTCAGGTGTCCTGTGTGTGGGCGTGGCTAACGTGTGGCTGCTGATTGGTCCGTGCAGGCAGGGTCTGGCGGGCGCTGTGAACGTGACGGGGGACGACGTGAAGAAGCTGGACGTGCTGTCGAACGACCTGGTCATCAACATGCTGCAGGCCTCCTACAGCACCTGCTGCATGGTGTCTGAGGAGAACAAGGAGCTCATCGTCACCCCCCAGGAGAAGAGGGTAAGCAGCCACCTCACTGCCAGGTGTCTCTGTTCCACCCTCACAGGTGAGTCCATCTTTATCCTCTGATGAATCACGTCTGTGGTGATGGGCGTGACCTCGTCCAGTCAGTCAGGACTGGTGTGACTCTCACCACATCTAAGCCGGGGAGATCCAGCTCAGTATGAAGAGAAGATTTTGCACAACGAGGAGCCGAGCTGTGGAGCATCGAGCTATTTTACAAGCTTCAAGGTTTTCTTTTAATTTGTCACCATTTTAAACCAGACAGTCGGTCTGTGTCTCATAATCACAGCACTCAGATTAAATTCAGTCAGCACAATACAGCTTTGTGCTGTTAGCTTAAAACTCAGTCAGATTTCTCACACTTGAATTGATTTATTATGGCAGAAGAATTGAGTTAGAGTATGAAATTTAAGGTTGAGGAGTAGTTGTACAGGCGCATGTCCACAGTCCGGAGTTACAGAGAAAAAAGAAATGTTCCTTTGTCCACATATTTATGGCTCTAACTGTATTAATCACCCACAACGTCGCAGGTGGACGAGTGAAATCTGGGATCTGGATGTTTGAGTGACGTCATGCATGTTCTGTCTAAGGAGCTCGGAGACAAAAGCCCTGTGGGAGTGTCCCCAAGAGGGTCACGGACCCCCTATTGATCCTCCACCTAACTGTACGAGCCACGGTGTGAAAACGGGTGTAGGTCACAATCAGCCAAGGTTGCAGGTGAAGCCCAGCCCCAGGCCCAGGATGTGAGTGGGCGTTCAGGCGTCTGGGAAGGATCTCAAAACTGGATTATAGATGACAGACGGTTGGTGTCATAAGCCCCGCCCTCTGTTCACAGATGGCGTTCACAGTGGACATAGATGCTTCTTTCACTCCTCTTTCAAACCATCTTCTCTGTCCAAAATGTGAACATTGGCATCCTCAAGAGTGACCTTTGACCTTTAGATGCAGGTGGATGGCCGTGTTCTGTACTAATCTCTCACCGGCTCCAGTGGTGAGCGAGTCATGTGATCAAATATGTGGGACGTGTTGGTTCTTTCAGTGGCTGTAGTGACGCATTAATACAGCACACTGAGTGATAAACACGTCATTCTGAAATAATACGACTCCAGTCTAACAACCGACACTTTGTTTATTTCCTGTTTACTTCCCGTCTCTGCCGCTCACCCCCAGCACTGGTTTGAGATGGCTGCATGACTCATTCACTTTTATTTGGAATATAATTTATTATTATCGTCATATTTCATTATTTAGTGTGTTTCTCCACAGGGGAAGTATGTGGTCTGCTTCGACCCTCTGGACGGCTCCAGTAACATCGACTGCTTGGCGTCCATCGGCACCATATTCGCCATCTACAAACGCGTGAGTCTGAGCTCAGAGTCTCGCTGAATCATCTGCATCACAAACATTTTGCTCCCGAGTCAAGGAAAACAGCCAAATCCTGGTACTGAATGAAGTCATAAGTATTTCAAACCATCAACAGTAAAATATCTGAGTACATTTACTGTGATTACTTTAAATATATTTTCATTATACAGCTTTTGTGCTATTAAGTTACTTATTAGTTACTTGGGTAAACAGTCGCGCATTAATGATGCTGTGCAGTAATAACAGGACACACTGTGTCCACACTGATTTTATTCCTATTTAAATATTAAGATTTCCTGCGTCTCCCACCACACGCCTTTTTATCGATCACTCCGCTACCACGTTTTTAAAAGTCCAGGAAATGTTCTCATACTGTGAAGCTGCCGTCTGTAACAGAACCATCTATGTTACCCAAACACACCTCGAGTCTTTAAAGGCTTCTGGGATTTTCAGAAACTTCAGATTTCTGCAGGGTCGAGGTGCAGTAACATCCTGCAGACACAAGAGGGCGCTGCTGCCCAGCTAAACCTGGCTTCTGAGCGCTTCTGATTATTTACAGCTGCAGCCTGCTGAGCTTTTTCAACATTGCACAACACAAAGCAACAGCTGTAAACAGGCCAGAGCCAGACAGGCCTGCGTGAGGTTTATACCATGAAACCTGATGTGTTTTATTCTGAAATGAGAAAAACGTTAATCTGATGTCAGTTTGTGAGTTTTTGGTCGGATGCTACAGTCTTTGTCCACTGAGGCACTCAGTCTGTGAGCAGTTTGCAGATAATCTCTCAGGTCTGCTGTTGTTTTTCCCTGCTGTGATGTTCAGATCTCAGAGGGGGAGCCCACCGAGAAAGACGCCCTGCAGCAGGGCAACAACATCGTGTGCGCCGGCTACGCCCTCTATGGCAGCGCCACCCTGGTGGCCCTCAGCACGGGCGCCGGGGTCAACTTCTTCACGCTCGATCCTGTGAGTACTGCGGTCACAGGTTTCCACACCTCCACAGAGCGCCACGTGACGTTACCTGAAGGGCCCTTTTCTCTCATGGCTCCTTGTGTCAGTGATAATCTCATAAACTCGCGGTTAATCCCTCACAGTCGTGCTTTTCCCGTTTCTCTGGTTTATTGTTTCTGCCAAAGAAAGCAGACACGATGCTGTCAGTCATCCCTCGTGAGGCACATCTGCACAGTGGAATCACAGGACTGTAGACACACGTCAATCCTTTTAGCTTTGCCACAATGTTTCTGGCACCTCATCTCTGATTGACTCAGTTTACATCATCTCACTCGTGTCACATTCTGGGTTTCAAAGGTAAAAA